CCAGTCTGAAGCATTTGATGGTATTTAACATCCCATATCCTTGACACCATCACCCATAACTACTTCTGTTTTCTAGATGGTTCCTCTGCCTCCTCCTATTACCTGCATTGATCTCTCCTTCAGTGAGCTCATTCACTCCTGTTCCTTCCACTAAAATCTCTTTTTAGCCTTGTGTTTCTATCTCTGACCTTTCTTAGAACTCCCAAACCCATGGTTACCAGCAACACCACTGGTGTATGATGACTCCAAACCCACATTCTTAACCACGGCACAGCTCTGACATCCTTGCTTTCCCTTCCCAAAACCACCACTCAAGCTCTCATTCCTTCACAGCTAGGTTACTATAAAAGTCTCCTAAATGGTCACCCTGAATCTATCTTCCCACACTAACCCACATTACAACTGGTATCAGAATAATCTTCCTAATGTTAGCTGTGATTATTTCTCACCTTTGCTCCAAACTTTTATGGCTCTCCCTTCCTCTTACCAACTGAACTGAGTATAATTTCTCATCTTGGTGCAATTAGATTCCTTACAGAAAATATAATTTATCCCACTCCTCCTTTGTATGCTGGAAACTCCAGGCAAACTGGAGAAAATTATATTCTTCATAGGCAACTCACATGGTCCCACTCCTATGCCTTTGTTCATTCTTTTCTCTCTACCTAAAAATTCCTCTTCATACCTCCTGTGGTAGACAGAATAATGGCCCCCCAGAGATGTCCATGTCTTAATCTCCAGAATCTGTGAATTTATTGGGTTACATGGCAAAGGGGAATTAAGGTTGCAGATGGAACTAAAGTAACCATTCAGCTGGCTTTAAAATAGATGATCCTGGATTATCCAGGTGTACCCACTGTAATCACAAGAGTCTTTAAGAGTGAAGAGCAAGTTAGAGGCAGAGGCAGATGTAACTAAGGAAGAAAGGTACAAAGAGATGCAATGTTGGTGGCTTCGAAGATGGAGGAAAAGGCCATAAGTCAAAGAATGTAGGTCTCTAGGAGCTGGAAAAAAAAACAAGGAAAAGGGTTTTCCCCTAGAGCCTCAAGAAAGGAATATAGACCCGCAGACATCATGATTTTTTTAGTAAATTTAGACAAATGTGTATCGTTTCAAACCACCACATTTGTGTAAATTTTTATGGCAGTAATAAAAATGAATACCCTCCATATATAATTATCAAAATTCAAACCTATCTTTTGGGACCCATTTCAAATGACACTAGAATGCAAAGATTATTCTCCCTCTGCTGACCACACTGGACAGGATCCCTTACTTCTCTGAACCCATGAAAGCATCAGACTCTAAAATCAGACTCAGTCACTTATTAGCTGCATGATCCTGGGAAGTCATTTAACCTCTCTGAGCTTTAGTTTCCTCATCTCTAAAGCAATCTCCTAAGATTGTTGTGAGGATTAAATACAGGAAACTATATACATTTCTCAGAATTGTGTCTGTTAAGCACTGAATAAAGATCAGCAATTATTAACTTTACTCTCGCCTGATTTTCAGAGTTATGTCCATGGCTGTCATATCTCCACCATAAAGACAAACATGTGCCTAGTCGTGTTCACTTCTTCCACAGGGAGCCTCTGCCACATGGGAGACAGTGTAGAAATAAGAGTTTTATTGGACAAGTGGCTGCTAACCACCTCACCTCAAAAAACAAGAAGAGTATTTTAAACTGGATCAATGAACCCATTGGACTAAAATTTATATATTCAATAGATAAAGATGAATAATTAAACATAAGGTGTAAACAGAAAAGATAAATGTTATTTAAAAAATAAAATATATCTTTGTAACAACTATTTTCTGTTTTAATTAAGAAAAAAAACTAGTAGCAAAGATATATACACTGTGATCAAAGAAGTAGATCTCCTAGCCCATCTAAAATTTAGCATGATCTGAAATTCTTAACTTCTTCAGCTAAAAGAACTAATATCACTCCTTTTATATTTTAAGTTAAAAATGTAACAAAGCTTAACAACTCTGCACAGTATAATGGTAACTTCAATAATTTACTAATACACGTAATAAAACTTGTTGCAAATTGGGCCCTTAGACTAAATGTAAAATGGGAAATTTATGTAAAACACCTATCTCCGTATTTAATTTGAAAGCAATCAAACTTTGAAAAGTGTGAGAATTTTGACTGGAAGGATAATTCTCTACTGAAAGAAATAATTACAGGTATAAGTATAACTGATTTTAAAACATTTAAATGTAAGTGAAAATAAGCAAGGAGCTCCACTGAAGGTGATTAAAAAAAAAAGTGAAATGCAAGCTAAGGTGTAACAGAGTAATACTGTGGACAAATATTCATGGGGATGCTTTCATCTGAGAGCAAGCGATAAGGCTACAGCTGATTCAGGAAAATGATTACTAGCAGAGAGGTTAGAAATTCACATCTCAATTAGACAGCATGGACTGAATTCTCTTAATATCAAAAGTATATTTGCTTATTTATTTACCAGTTGCCATCTAGCTGACTCCAACACACGGGGACTCCACAAGTGTCAGAGTAAAACTGCGCTCCACAGGGTATTTAATGGCTGATTTTTCAGAAGTAGATCACCTGGCCTTTCTTCCAAGGTGCCTCTGGGTGGACTTGAACCTCAAAACTTTCAGTTAGCAGATGAGTGCATTAACCATTTGCACCACCCAGGGACTCCATTAATTCATTTTGTAAGGGTCAGTTCTGTACTCTAATGTGAGCATATGTGAGAGGATGAAGGAGTGACAGCAAACATCCAATGAGCTTTAAACATTTTACAGTGGAGCCTCACTTTAAGAAAAACCAAATCCATGAGAAGGGAAATTTAAATAGTATACATGAACACTTAATATATTATTTAAAATGGTTACCTAAAGCAAATTTTTAAAAAATGTATATGGCAAAGGACGTACTAAATGGCTTTAAAATAAAACATTTTTTCAACCAATATTTATTGAATACACACTTGTACCACACATTAAATTAGGGGATAATAATATAATGATAACTGAAATACATTCAGCACTCAAGAAGCTTACTATTTAGTGGAAAATATAAGTTATATAATCTGAGAAGTGTCAAAATCAGTATAAATAGAAAGTGCTGTGAATGCACAATGGGTGGTGGTAGCGGGAGAGAGGTATTTAGCCCAGTCCTAGAAGGAAGAATAGGTGACCACCCAGAGAAAGAGGTATATGATTGAGTACAGAAGGATTAATAACAAAGTGAATGGGGAAAGTATAAGGCATGCTAGGCAAATATGATAGTATGCATGAAGGCCTGGAGTCAGGACAGAGAACCACCTTGAGTCTGAGAATTTCAAGTAGTTCAGTATGGCTGAATACTGGAGTGAGAGGTGGGGAGTGGCAAATGGAAAAATATGTAGGGACTAGAAAAAGAAAACATCTTTGAAAATAAACATTTAAAATCAACGCTCAATACGTCAAAAGTAGCTGAAAGCCTCCTTGAAGAGACCAAATGGATCCTAACAAATAGGACTGGACAGACCCTGACTGAAATATTAATATATGTAAAGGAATGTGTCTAGCCAAAAGGGGGTTGACCAGTCCTGCATGTACAAAAAGTGAGAGTCTCAGACACATTTTGACTTTGCCCCTCCAAAGGCACTGAAGACAAAAGTGTCTCAACAAGCAAATTCCAAGTATTTTTTTCTAATTAGCAAGGCAATCTATACTGTGAAGACAACTTAGCATAATCTCATGAAACTTTCAAATTACTGGTAATCCTCGACTTACTACAGGGCTCCATTCTGATGATTATGTCAGAAGTCAGTTCTGACGTAAGTGGAACACCTCATTTATTTTTTTAGTGTTCATTATTATTGCCTTTTCTTATCAGTATCTTTATATATCTGATCTTTATTTGTCTTTGGGGGTTGGCATGAGAATGATTACATCAGCAAATTATACGCTGCAACAGTGTATGTAGTACATATTGCTAAGGATAAGATGTACCAAAAAAACAGATAGGTTCGTCGTAACTCAAAAATGTCATAAATCGAGGACTTACGACCATCTCGTTTTTTGTTTGTTTGTTTTTTGTACATCTTATCCTTAATAATATTTATTATATACAATGTTGCAGCATGTAATTTTCTGCTGTTATTCTTAGACATTCACTGAACGATGTTCAATGTTATGATTTACTGTTCAAAACACTACCATTTAGTAGGCTATGGCTTCGTCTACAATGAAGTTGGTCCCGGTGTCAGTGTTGGGAGACATAACAGATAGAAAGTTGGGCAGTGTTCAACTCTAACAACAGACTACAACTGAACTGCGATGCGCCCAACAGCTGTTATGACTCCAACTTCATTGTTAGGACACTGACGTCGACTTCACTGTAGACCAGGCCTATCGCATGATCGTATTCAGCATTTTGTACATCAGAAGCATCAGCTGTTAATTTCATTGTCGAAGTAAATTTTTGATTCGTGTATTTTTTTATGTATTTGTGTATTAAAATATATCTTTAAGTTTATATGTAATGTTTCCAATCCCCAAAGACAAAGGTCAGATTTATAAAGAGACTGATAATAAAAGGCAATAATAATGAATACTAAAAAAAAAAAAAGAGGTATCACACTTATGTCAGAATTGGCTTATGATGGAGTTGTCAGAATGGAACCCCATCATAAATCAGGGACTACCTGTATTCAAGTGCTTTAGAGTTTTTTTTTCCTGCAAGAAAATATTCAACAACTTGTCTGTGTCACGTGTTCAGGAAAAAAAAAACCAAAAACCTGAATTCATGGAGTATATATTGAATACAGTAAAATCTGTGAGAGCCAGAACTCGACACGACTGCCTTCTTTTTCTGGGTATTACAAGTTTTCCGTCTTTGACAGGTTTTACCATTTTTCTACTGCTCTCTATTAGTGGAAAATATTTGAGTTTTCTTTCTCCGACAGGTTTCCACCTGACACAGGTTCCGTTTTCACAGGTTTTACTGTATTATACAAGCAAGTTTGAGAGACACTTACCCAGTATTGATGGAAATGATTTCTATCAGTGGATTCTTCCTAATCTTTGGCAAATCCAATCGTGCTCCCCCCAACCGTTTTCCATTATCCTTTTTCTGACCCAGCAGTCTCACAGAGTGACCTTCAAAATAAAACACATAAATATACATTAGGATGAGTCACACAACTTCACTTTAACTTACTGCTTTCAACAAATGTGTTAATGTTTGCATTTAACATTTTCATTTATGAAACAAACAAAAAATAACCTAGAGAAGATGGAAACATTTGAGTCTACGAAACACCATCAAAAGGAAAAAAAACAGCTGTGCTTGAATCCTACAGCCAAAAGTGTGTTGCTTATTAATATGTGCACAATGATCTGCACAAGTGAGAGAAATAGAAATATCCTCAGAATTAATTCCACACGTAGCAATGCTTCATAGCTTACACTAGATACAGCAGAAAGGGTCCACTTAGGCACTGAACTTGCCTGCCAATTGCATTGCAGAAAAAATAAAAAAGCAAAAACAGATTATCTGCTCAACACTAAATCAAAGGAATGAAGAATTAAATATTGAAATAAAATGACATTCTAGGTTTGGATTTTTAAAAGCAATTTTTTTACACTTATTTGTTTTTTTAAAAAACAAATCGGACAGTTTATACATTTTTTGTAATTTTAAAATTTCAAAACAATTTCAGACTTACAGAAAAGATGCAAGATTAGTATAATAATTCTCATACTCTTTAGATTCCTCAATTGTTATTATTTCAGCTTATTTACATTGTCATTTTCTCTTAATATAGATATGCATATAAATATATACATACACATATACATGTACATATATACGCACACACATACTATTTGTACAGCTTTACTGAGGTATATTTTACATACCATAAAATTCACCAATAGTGAGTACACAATTCAGTGATTTTCAATACTACATTTATAGAGTTGTGCAGTCATCGCAACAAGCCAGTTTTAGAACATTTCCATCTCGCAAAAAAAATTCCCTCAAGCCCGTTTATAGTCCATCGCTATGCTCATACTGAATATACCACATTTTAGTTTCCCACTGTCCAGGAGATGGACATTCGGATTGTTTCCAATTAATAGTTATTAAAATAATGCTTATATGAACATTCACACACAAGTCTTTGTGTGGATATATGCTTTCATTTCTCTTGGATAGATTCCTAGAAGTGTAACTACTGGGCCATGCAGTTAATTTATGTTTAACTGTGTGTACATGTGCATTTTCTAATAAAACTTTATTTACAAGAACAGGTGGTGGGTTGGATTTTGTCCACACACACAACCTCTACTCCAACAGCACTGTCCAATATGGTAGCCACTGGCCACGTGTAACTAACAAGCACTTGAAACATCCTGTAAATATAAATATGTTTAACTTTTTAAGAAACCATAAACTATTATCCAAAGTAGTTGTTCCATTTTATATTCCCACCAGCAATGAATGAGAGTTTAACTGTCTCCACATCCTTACCAACACCTGGTACTTCTTCTTTGCTAATATTCATTCTAGTAGGTAATGGTCTATTATGGTTTTAATATGGATTTTCATAATGACTAGTGATGTTGGTGGCATAGTGGTTAAGAGCTCGGCTGCAAACCAAAAGGTTTGCAGTTCAAATCCACCAGCTACTCCTTGGAAACCCTATGGGGTAGTTCTACTCTGTCCTAGAGGATCGCTAAGAGTTGGAACCGACTCAATGGCACCTAACAACAACAATGATGTTGAACACCTTTTCATGTGATTACTAGCCAGTTTTATGTCTTGTTCAGTGAAATGGTCACTCCAGTCTTTTGCCAATATTTAAAGAAGAATATCTGTCTTATTAATATGTTGTAAGTAAGAATTCTTCATACGTTCTGGTTACAAGGCTTTAATCAGATACACGATTTCCAAATATTTTCTCTCAATCTGTGGCATATGTTTTACTTTCAAACGGTGTCTTTGGAAAAGTAAATGTTTTTAAATTTAATAAGTCCAATTTATCAATTTTTCCTTTTATGACTCATGCTTCTGGGATCATATCTATGAACTCTTTGTCTAGCTCAAGAGCACAAAGATATCTCCTATGTGTTCTTCTATGTTTTATAGTTTTAGCTCTTACATTTAGATCTAGAATCCACTTTGAGTTAATTTTTATGTATGGTAAGTGTTATGGATTGAATCGTGTCCCCCAAAGTAGATGTTAAAATCCTAACCTCTGTGGATATGATCCTGTTTGGAAATGACGCTTTTATTTTGTTATGTCAATGAGGTCATACCAGTGCAAAGTGGATCCTAAACCTAATCACTTCCAAGTTATAAGAAGATCAGAATAGACAGAGACACAAGTGAGGTTCATTAACAAGCTAAGGAACACCAAAGAGCCAAAGAAGGCCTGGGGCTACCAACAAGGAAGGAAAAGACACATCAAAACACTGAATTGAACTTTTAGCCTCCAGAACTGTGAGAAAATAAATCTGTGTTCTTTAAAACCACCCACTTGTGTTATTTCTGTTACAGGAACACTAGGTACCTAAGACATTAAGGGTGTAAGTTCACTTTTTGCATATGGGTATTCAATTGTCCCAGTACCATTTTTGAAAAAAGTATCCTAGCATCAAAGAATTGTTTGGACAGTTTTGTAAAAAAATCAATAGACCATAAATAAGAGGGTTTATTTTTGGACTCTTGATTCTGTTCATTGCTCTATATGCCTTTCCTTATGCCAATGCCACACTGTCTTGATAACTGTAGCATTATAGCAAGTTATAAAATTGAGTAGCAAAATTCTCCAACTATGTTCTTCTTTTTCAAAATTGCTGTAGCTATTCTAGATCCTCTGCATTTCCATATACATTTTAGGAACAGTTTGTCAATTTCCATAAAAACACCTGCTGGGATTTTGATGGGGACTGTGTAAAGTCTGCAGATGAATTAAGGGAGAACTGTCATCTAAACATTATTGAAGCTTCCAATCCATCAACACGGAAGGTCTCTCCATTTTTTTTAATCCTCTTTAATTTCTCTCAACAATACTTTGTAGTTTTCAGTGTACAAAACTTGCAGTTCTTTTGTTAAATTTATTCCTAAATATTTTATTCTTTTTATGGTATCACGAATTCTTAATTTCATTTTGGAATCATTTGTTGCTAGTATATAGAAATACAACCTTTTGTGTATTGGTTTTGCATTCTGCAATCTTGATAAATTCATGTATTAGTTCTAGTAATTTTGGGGGGTATTCCTAAGTATTGTGTACACACAGGGTCATATCATCTACAAATACAGTTTAACTTCTTCCTTTCCAATGAGCATGTCTTTATTTTCTTTATTGAACTGGCTAGAACCCCAATACAATGTTGAAATGGCAAGAGACATCCAACTCTAGGAGAAAAGCATTCCTCCTTTCCCTGTTAAGTACAATGTTAGCTCTGCATTTTTTCATAGATGCATTTTATCAGGTTGAAGAAGGTACCTTCTATTCCTAGTTTGTTGAGAAATTGTATGATGAATGGTTGTTGAATTTTGTCAAATGCTTTGTTTATTGAGATAGTCCTGTGGTTTATGTCCATTCTTTTATTAATATGGTGTATTGTGCTCAGTGATTTTTGGATGTAAACCAAACCAGCACTAATGGGATAAATCACACTCTGAATCTAAGGTTTGCTGAATATGGTTTGCAAATATTTTGTTAAAGATTGTTGTCCATGATATTGGTTTGCAGTTTTAGTTTCATGTGATACCTTTGACTTTTAGTATCAGGGTAATGCTGACATCATATAATGAGATATAAGTATTCTCTCCTCCATTTTCTAAAAGAGTTTGTGACGGATGGGTAATATGCCTTTTTAAATACAGGCAGTCCTCGCATTGCACGGTACTATGTTAACAGAAACTGTGTCCTTACTTTTCAGTTTCACAGTAACTGAGGTCTTACCACAAAACTGTGCAAAGTGAGGAGATGGTTCCAACCTGCGTAAGTTTCATTTACAAGATACCACACAATGTGCAAACTGTCTATATTTGATAGAACTCACAAGTGAAGCCATCTCAGACTGGGCTTTTCTTTGTGAAAAGATTTTTTAATTACTAGTTCAAATTTCTTGTTAGAGATCTTAAGGAAGGAGTCAGTCTGGTAGATTGAGTCTTTCTAGAAATTAGTCCATTTGATCCTAATTGTCTAAGTTGTTAGCATAAAGTTCTTCATAATATCCCCTTATACTCCTTTTAATTTTGTAGGACTGGCAGTGATGTCCCTTCTTTCATTCGTGACTTTGGGGATTTGTACATTATCTTTTTCTGTTTGGTGAGTTTTGTCTACCTAAGGTTTCTTTCAAAGAACCAATCTTTGGTTTCATTGACTTGCTCTAAACTTTGTGTTTTATTTTGTAATTCATTGATTTCAACTCTAATCTCTATTATCTCCATGATTTTGGTTGTTTGGGGTTTAGTTTGCTCTTCTTTTCCTAGTCTCTTGATATAAAAGTTTTGGCCATTGATTTGAGAATCTTCTTCTATTGTGACATAGACATTTAAACTTATAAATTTCCTTCTAAGTATTGCTTTAGCATTTGCCAAATATTTGGATTTTTATAAGATTGTTTCTGTTATAGGTCTCTAAGTTAATTCTACTGTGATCAGAAAATATAACATATTATTTCAATCTTTTAAAATTTATTTAGATTTGTTTTGTGGTCCAGCATATGGTCTATCTTGGAGAGTGTCGCCATATGTGCTTGAAAATCTATATTATGCTGTTGGTAGAAGGAGTGTTCTTTCATGTTAGGTCAAGTTGGTTGATAAAGTTATTCAAGTCTCCTATATCCTGGTGGCTTTCTGTCTAGTTGCTCTACTAATTATTGAAAGTAGGGTATTGAAAACTCCAACTATTATTTTTGAATTACCTATTTCTCAATTCAATCTTGTCATGTTTGCTTCATATATTTTGGGGTTTTGTTATTAGATGCATATACATTTATAACTGTTATATCTTCCTAAGGTACTGAGCTAATTATCATAAAATGCCCATCTCTAGTAATATTTTTTGACTTAAAATCCATTTTGTTCGATAGTAAGGTAAACCATGCCAGCTCTCTTATTGTAACTGTTTGCATGA